TACCTGGCTGGGGGCCGGCATGGAGTTGGCAGGTGCTGAGGAATGAGAAATTCAGTTCAGCCTGAATCCCTGCACCCTCCCAATGGAGATTCCTGCAGGCTTCTTCTGCCATTCCTCCTTGCTGCTACACGGCCACCTGCTGCTGCTGATGTTGATGCCCCTGTTCCACTGACCTGGGCCAGCTGAGGGTTCATCTTCATCAAATCAAACCTGGTTACAAGTGGCAGGTGGCTGAGACAGGCCCTTAAGCTCCCCAGAAACAATCCTGGTTTCATGTTCCAACCCTTCCTTACCTTTTCCCCAACATTCACATAGGATTGTCACACACCCTTGTGCAGGCTGTATACTGCACGATCTCACAGGGAATACAAATCACAATGGCTCCTGATCCACATATTCTTACCTGTTTGAGAATCTGTTTGGGAAAGACTCGTTACCAAGTCCCTAAATAGTAGTCCCCTGGGACAACGTATATGAGGTATATGAGAGTCAAGAAAAAAACCAGTGAAAACCAGGGATCATCTCATAAAGTTCAGAGACCGCTTCCACAGTATTTCATTGTATACATTTGTCAAATGCAGATAAATAATTTCTATTCTGCTCACTTCCCAGAAATATTATAAGGGTAGGACACACTCATGGATGTGAAAATACATTGTGAAGAAAAAAGCATCAAGGAATGAGAGCAATTTTCCTGTTGATGACTATCAGCTAAGCAGTATCTATGGAGAATAGACTTTATGTTTTCTGAGAACCTGTAAACATGTGTTTCCTGTGCTCTCTGCAGCACTGTGAGCAATCCATGCATGCACTATAATGCAGCAATGTGGGGCAGTGCCGAGGATATCTAAAACAAACTAGCTTTATCCTCTTTATGCCAAGTTACTATATGTGGAATTGTTTTAAAATCAGTAAGATTAGGAATCAAATGAATGAATGAATATATACTAATTTATCACAGGGTGCCTAAGACAAAAAAAAGAAGGCATTTTATATGAGAATATCTAACCTAAATGTAAAACCCGAAGCTATAAAACACTAGAAGAAAACATAGGTGAAACACGTCAGGGCATACATCTAGGGAAAGATTTAATGAGTAAGACCTCAAAAAACACAGGCAACAAAAGCAAAAATAAGCAAGGGAAATTATATCAAACTAAAAACCTTCTGCATAGCAAAGGAAGTAATCAGCATAGTGAAAAGACAACCTGTAGAATGGGAGTAAATATTTGCAAACTTTTCATCCTCTACAAGGGGTTAATATCCAGAATATATAAGGAACTCAAACACCTCAACAGCAACAAAACAAACAATGCAATTTAAAATAGGCAAATGATCTGAACAGATATTTCTCAAAAGAAGACATACAAATGGCCGACAGCTATATGAACAAATGCTTGACATCACTAATCATGAGGGAAATGCAAATCAAAGCCACAATGAGATATCATTTCACCCTTGTTAGAATAGCTATTACCAAAGGTACAAAAAATAAAATAAAATATAGTGAAGCCACTATAGAGAAGAATATGGAGGTTCCTCAAAAAAACTACAAATAGAACTACTATATGATTCAGCAATCCCAGTAGGGGGCATTTATCCAAAGAAAAGAAACTCAGTATATGAAAAAGACATCTTCACTCCCATGTTTCTGGCAGCACTATTCACAAGAGCCAAGATATAGAATCAACCTGGGTGTCCAACATCAGAGGAATGGAGAAAGAATATGTGGTATACACAACGTAATACTATTCAGCCATTTAAAAAAAAGAATGAAATCCTGTCATTCGTGACAACATAGATAGACCTGGAGGACATTAAGTGAAATAAGCCAGAAACAAAAAGTTAAATACTGTATCTTCTCACTCATATGCAGAAGCTAAAAGAAGTTGATCTCATAGAAATAAAAAGTAGAACAGAGGATACTAGAGTTTGGGAAGGGTAGGGAAAGGAGAGGATAGAGAGAGATTTGTTAAAAGATACAAATTTACAGCTAGATAGGAGAAATAAATTCTAGTGTTCTATAGCACTGTAGGATGACTATAGTTAACAATAATATGCGTATATAGTTTCAAATAGCTAGAAGAAGGATATTGAAGGTTCCCAACACAAAGAAATGATAAATGTTTAAGATGATGGATATGCTAATAGCCCTGATGTGGTCACTAGACATTGTACATATCAAAAAATCACTATGTACCCCACAAATATGAACAAATATTATGTGTCAATTAAAATGTTTTTAATTTAAAAAATTAAAAATTAAAGATTTTAAAAAGAATATATATTATCTATATCTCTCCTTGAAGAATTTATAATCCAATCAGAGAAAACAGATTAGCCCAAGAAACAACCGGAAAATAAGTTGAGACAGAATATAATCAGGCTGCAAGTGGGGTGTCCTTTCACTGATGCATTCATGCATTTCAGGACTAGTTATTAGGTACCCTCTATGGTTTGGCCCTGTGCTTGGTGAGGGAGAGGTAAAGTCTCAGCCACATCCCCAAGTTCCCTAAAGTCTAGAGGAAAGATAGACAAAAATATCAAAGATCCTAGGTCAAGGGATATACCCAGGGGTAGAGATTGCACAGAGAACTGTGGAAAAACACACAGGTGGAAAGTCAGATGAGACTGGGCTTCCAAGGAAGACTTCCTAGGAGAGGCAACCATGGGAAAGAGTTTTGAACAACAAGCTAGGAGTTACTGAGATTCATTGGGGTGGGAGTAGGGGTACTCCAGGCAGAAGGAACAGTACAGAAGGTGGATGGGAGTTGCTTTAACAACAAATTTAGGAATTTGAGCTTGATACTGAGGTTTTAAGGAACCCCTGGAGACACCTGAGATGAGGGTGAGGGGGGCATGATCAGATTTTCACTTTAGCAGATTCACTCTGACAGCCACAGTGCGGAGGTGGTATTGGAAGATCTAAGAGGCAACTTGAGCTTTCCTAGAAGAATTCGGACCCTTTGTCCCTAAATTACCTCTCTCACCAGTTCAATGACACTTGGCATTCCATCGGTAAAGCTGTATTTCCTTAACCCCAATATACAACTGTGAACCCTTGACCACTGCATCACTCTGGAAGAATGCAGTCATACTCCTGGCAACCCTCGGCCATTTACACCGAGTGTGAGCGAGTTTCAAGTATCTTCCTGAGAATATTATTTTTATTTTGTTATTTTATTATTTTACTTTATTCATCTAATTGATTTTTCTAATTGCTAGTCTGCATAAAGTCCTGTGATACAGATCAGAAACACGGTTCTCTCCTCCATAATTACAGCCCAGGAAAAGGAGGGTAGGTAGGAAAGGCGATGGAGCAGACCAGCAAACAGATGACAACACAGCACAGCGCGTGCAAGGAAGGAGGTCTGCACACAGGGAGCAAATGCCCCTGCGTTCTTTCAAATACCTCTCCAGCACCTATGGGATGCCAAGTGGTGCTCTAGGTAAGAATCACATGGCAACTAGTGCTGAGCACCTGGACCTTATGTCTGGGGGAGGAGAGGAAAAATAAACAAGAAAACAAATAAGTGCATAATGTAATTGCAGGCAGAGATGATACTGAGGACTGAGGGTTAAAAAGGAGCTGACCCAGAGGATGAGAAAGGGTTGGGAAGACCACAAGTGCAAAGATGGCTTGGGAACTGTGGCTGGGTGGGGGCAGGTGAGGGAGGGGGAGGCACAGACAGTAGACCAGCCCCTGGCCTGGGTCCTGAACCTGAAGGGCCTCCTGTGTCGATCTCCAGTCGGAACTATTTTTTTTTACTTTTGAGATGGAGTCTCACTCTGTTGCCCAGGCTAGAGTGCAATGATGTGATCTCAGCTCACTGCAAGCTCTGCCTCCCGGCTTCATGCCATTCTCCTGCCTCAGCCTCCCGAGTAGCTGGGACTACAGGCACCCACCACCACGCCTGGCTAATATTTTGTATTTTTAGTAGAGCTGGGGTTTCACCATGTTAACCAGGATGGTCTTGATCTCCTGACCTCGTGATCCGCCCACCTCAGCCTCCCAAAGTGCTGGGATTACAGGCGTGACAGTTGAAACTTTAAAAGAGAACAATGAAATGTCATGAAAGCGTTTTAAGTAGGGAAGAGAAATTACCAATTTCATTGTTTTCAAAAGTCACTGTGCTTGCAGAGGGTGACCAAGAAGTTGAAGGTGTCTCATGAGAAGGGATACAGCCTGAGGCAAAGCAGGGACGGCTGAAGGAAGGAGGAGGAATGGAACACGGGACTGGCTGTGTGTGGTGAAGAGGAGATGGTGTCGGGGGGACTTGTTTATTTCTGGCTCAGCTTTCCTGGAAGGATAATGCTGCCATCCAATGAATCACAGAACCCAGAAGCTTGGGGACAAGAGAAGGCAGAGAGAGAGTATGGTAACAGGCTCTGTGGGCATGTTGAGGTGGAGAAGTCTGCAAGCAGCTGAAGAAATGGGTCTGGCTCTGGGGACTCGCAGCTGAGTTGGAGATGCAGGTTCAAGAGACTAGGAAGACCCCCAAGTACTGAGGAAAGGGGGCAGAAGGACAGGGAGGTGGCTAGCAGGGGGTGTCAAGTCACTGTCTAAGGGAGAAACTGCTCCACAGTTGGGTCAACTGCTCAAAGAGCAAACATCTGTGTATCTGCCCTGTGCATTCTTAACCAGGCCCGGAGACCCAGCCTAAGCTTTGAGAAGGGAGGGAGGGAGGGACAAGGGAAGGAAAAAAGGGAGAGGAGAAGGGAGGAAGGGATGGAAGAAAGAAGGAAGGGAGAAAGGAAGGAAGAGAGGGAGGAAGGAAAGGAGGGAGGGAGAGGCAGGCAGGCAGGCAGGAAGGAAGGAAGGAAGGAAGGAAGGAAGGAAGGAAGGAAGGAAGGAAGGGCAAGCGACATATAAACAGCATATAACAACAGTTTTCTGTGAGGGGAGGGCAGTCACAGGAAATGGCCCTGTTTCTTTCCCATCCTCTTTCCTGTTTCCTGTCCTGGAAAATCATCTCAGTGGTTCCCCTCTTGGTTTTCCACATGACTAAACTCCACGGGGCTTGAATGATCAGGCTGCCAGGCTGCCTCTCCCCAGTTCCTCCAGCTCCCACAGAGCCCACAGGGACCTGCAGATCTGGGCGCCCTGCCCATCCCCTTCTTTCCCCCACCACACCTGGGAGGGCCCTCACTGGGGAGGGGGCCAAGAGTGGGTCTGGCCTGGGATGTCCAGATGCTCACAGCATGGAAAGCTCCATCCGGCTGCTGGCCTGCTTGGCGTGCGTCCTCCCGACAGGTGAGTGTCTGCTCCTCTCTCTGGCCCATGCTCGGGATCGAATAGATGCTGACGGCGTCAGGTACAGTCTCCCCTGGAAAGCGGGAAGTGCGTGTGCACAGGGCCTCCAGGCCTGTAGAGGAAGAAGAGCTGAGCTTGGGGCCTGTGATGCCAGAAGCCAGAAGTTCAAATCAGTGCTGTGTCTTGGATTTCAGGTGACTTGAGGCAGGCACCCCACGTCTCTGGCCTCAGGGTGGCCACCTATATAAAGGCCACTTGCCCCACTCATTCCTTTGAGGATCCAGAGGACAACAGGCCAGGTACAGAGAGGACATGACAGGCTCTGAACAAGCTTCACGTGCTACTGTCACCCAAGTGCCGTGTGTTTTGATGGGCACAGCCTGAGGAAGAAGGGAGGGGAGCACATGGGCGTTTGGGGATGGTGCTTGTGCATGGGAGGGGGTGATTTCATGTGGGGGATATATTGAGGGATAGAGGCCCTCCCAGCAGGAATCCCAACGGGTGAGTGGGGACTCTGGCAGGTTTAAGCAACAATGTCATCAGTCACTTAGCTCAGTGACTTGGTATCCTGGGAACAGTGTTTCAAAGGGCACAGGGGCCATCTGCGTCAGAATCCCTGGGGTTAGGGGAGGGCAGTTGCTAAAATGCAGGTTCTTTGGCTCCACCTCAGACCTGCAGAATCAGAGTATCAGGCAGCAAGGCCAGGAATCTGAATTTTCACCACCTTCTTGGGTGATTCTCATGCTCAATGCAGTTGAGGGCACCTGGGATTCATGGCAAAGGCAATCCTCAGAGCTCCTCTCTCCAGATCCCAGTCCTTCCCCCATCCCCATCCTAGGAGTCAGCATCCATGCCACTGTATGCTTGGCCATCACAGGCCACACGCTGACATCATGGTGTCCAGAGCTGTAAGTCAACATTCCCTGTATGGGGGCCTGGCTCCACAACTGGATGATAAACTCCCACACCTTAGACGCCTTTGCCCTCTCCTCCAGTGTTGCACTCAGACTGGAGTCCAGCTCGGGGCTGGTTTGGGCAGTAACAACAAACCTCTGCACAGCTCTCACCACGTGCTGGGCACTTTAGTAACTCACGTAAGCCTCATAACCCTATGAGAAAGGAACTTTGTTTGTTTGTTTTGGAGACAGAGTCTCACTGTCACCCAGGCTGCAGTGCAGTGGCGCAATCTCAGCTCGTTGCAAACTCTGCCTCCCAGGTTCAAGTGATTCTTGTGCCTCAGCCTCCCAAGTAGCTGGGATTACAAGCGTGTGCCACCACGCCAGGCTAATTTTTTACACTTTTAGTAGAGACAGAATTTCGCCATGTTGTCCAGCCTGGTCTCGAATTTCTGACCTCAAGTGATCAGCCCACCTTGGCCTCCCAAAGTGCTGAGATTACAGGCATGAGCCACCGCGCCCAGCAGAGAAAGGAACTCTTCCCTACGAAACATTCCTTTTTCACAGATGAAGAACATGGGGCCCAGAGAGGCTTGGCAAGTGGCAGGGGTGGAGGTGGGATTTGAACCCAGGTGTGTGGGGCTTTTGGCTGGGCCCCCCAATACCCCATCCCACACAACCATGGACCCTTGGTGGGCACTGACAGGGAAGGAGCTATCTTTTCCCAAGTTGACCTAACTTAGCCATCTTTCTGGGATAATTTCGGGTTGGGTCCCACAGAGACAGTGGTCAGACCTGAGTGGCTGATGGGAGAGGGGTTGAGGGTGTAGGTGTTGGCAGCAGGGAAGGTCTGAAGCTCGCCTCTGCTTTTTACTGGCTGCACGGCCTTGGGCAGGCTGCCTACCTTTCTTGAGTCCCTGTAAACTGGGGTCCCTGCCACCTTGAAGAGGTGCTGGGGAGGTTCATTAGACACTACATCAAAGGCCCCCAGCACAGCTCCTGGCCTTCAGTGGCTGCTCGATAAATGGCCATGAAACCTTGCCAAAGTCACACTGTTATAAGAGAGCCGAGGCTTTCGGGATTTTAGGGAGATTTTTTTTTTTTCTCCTGCTACGGGTCAGTTGCTATGAATCAGCAAGAGACAAAGGATTTAGAGGAAGCACGGGCTGTGGAGTCACATGTTCAAAAACAAAAGCCAAACCGCACACCTGCTCTGTTGAGATGACTGAGTGCAGCCAAGACACTCACGTGAGCCAACTCAGCTGCAGAAAGTCATTTTCTTTACAAACAGCAGCTGCTTCACAGTTAGAACCAGGGTGGTCCAGGCCCCCACTTCCTGACGCTCTTCTGGCTGCTCTTCTCCTGGGAGCCTCTCCTCGTGGCTCAGCCGGAAGACGTCCAGGCCACGGCCTGGGCAGGAGGCCCGAGGAGCAGGCTCTGCCCCACCACCGTGTGTGCACCAGAGGCTCTGTGAGCAGACGCCTGTGCCAACGCGGGCCCGCAAGTCATGGTCCCTTCCCTCGCCCAGAAGAGCCCCTTGGTGAGAGAAAAGTGGGAAGCATTCGTCCCAGAAAGGCCCCTTCCACTTTCCATGTCCTCCCCTGCAGGCAGGAGACTCCCGTACTCGACACCCAGCAGCCCCTAATCTCCCAGGGGCTCCCCACATAGCCTCCCTTGTCCTCCCTCATCTCCCCCCACATCTGCTTTTAAGAAGCTGGAGATGCCAGGGAATGTGGGGCAGGGGGAAGGTTGGGCCTGGGAGCTCCAACCACCCAGGTAACCTTGGACAAGGCCTCAGGTGGTCCTCAAGCCTGTGACAGGCAGGTGTCACAACCACAGCCGCTGTCATCTTCAGGACCCCTTGTGCCAGGCCTGTGACAAACAGTTCATTTACTCTTCAGCACAGCCTTGCAAGTGAGGCTCCTGGCCTCTGCACTGAGGGTTCAGTGACTGCTGGGGCATCTAGCCCAAATGGGAACCAGAGGCTTCTGAGTGCGCGTCCACTTCGCCCACACCCTCCTGCAGTGGGCAGGGAATCTGGGTGAAGCCTGGTGTGGAGAGCGATTTACTTCACTAGTTCTGAACTGCTGCAGAAAAACAAACCCAAATGGCAAGACAAATAGCAACGGTCACCTAAAGATGCAGGGGTGTTCATTCGGGACGCAGGGAAAGGTCGGAACCAGAGGAGATGGGCTGGTGTCATAGCCCAGGAGGAAATGGGGGGCTTTAATGAGCTGGGGCGCTTCTCTCCCCGTGGCTGTTGTGAGCAGTTTGCTTGGACTCAGGATGTCCTATCTAGGGCGGGAAGGGGAGGAGTGAAGGAGCAGGGCCCACTATGGAGGCTGGGCAGGGGGTGGGGGCACCAGCAGAGACAGGCTACGTCAGGTCTCTGAAGAGCAGCACCCTGGGGGGGGCACAGGCCCCACGGCAGGGTCAGCCTGTGGCCCTGCCTCTCCATCAGCTCAGGTAAGCAGGGCCACACCCACGCCACAGTCCGCCTGCGGCAGCGGCATGGGTTAAAGGGGAAGCCAGATAACCCTGAGGCAGATGGAGACCAGCTGGCCTTTCACTCACTACTCACACCTCACCCCTTCCCGGGAACCTTCAGGGTCTGGTTTGTGCTGACGCTTGGAATTTCTGCTTCCTCTCCCTCCTCTGCTCTCTGATCTCCACCCCATTCTTGCCCTTTCTCTACTGATAACCTATGTTGACAACCTGCAAGCCCAGAGAAAGATTTGCAGGGAACAGCAAACTCAGGGGTGGGAGGGGAAGGGCTGAGCTGCAAAAAGCCTCAGCTCCACCTACATACCTACGGGTGAGGTCGACAGCCAACGGGAGTGTCTCTCCTTGCCCCCAAAATGCCCTCTCCTAGCCCTCCAGGTGCCACAATGCTGGAAGTTCCACCCCCGGAGCCACTCTCCGGGAGCACCCGTTAGCATGCCCAGGTGCCCTCAAGGAGGGTAGCCCCTCCCAGATTGTTGGGCTCCTCAGATTGGCCACTTGTCAGCTGGTAATGTCAGCTATGTGGTGGGGGCAGGGGCACAACAGACGTCTGAGAGACTCCAGCTCTGAGGGCCACAACGCTGTCCCTCTTGGAGGCGTGGTCTTCCTACAGTGACTGGCACCCCCTGGCTCCATCCTTCCCTTACCCCCTCAAAATCCATGTCACATAAAGCCCAGCCCAGCAGACCTAATTCTTGTTAAAGTGCCATTCTGTAAGGGTACCCCCTCTGGCCATTATTCCACCATGACTACCACAGGACTCACTTTCCTGTCTGTGACACCCTGGAGAGGGTCTTTAATTCCAGGCATTAGTAAAACGTCCACAGACAGCAAGTGACCCGTGCTCCGCCATGAAACCGACAAGCAGCTTTCTCTCTAGTTAACAGAAGTGTGTGACAACGCCCACAAAAGATCTACACAGAAGTTCCCGTGCAAATTCCTGCTTTGCTTTCTTCCTTACCAAGAAACTGGTGGAAATCTTTGGTCAGCTGTGGCGAAACCAAGGTTTCTGTTTCTGACCCTATCCAATTGCAGCTTCTCCTGGTGTAGGCTCCCCAGCTCTGTTTCTCTCTCCCTGGAGCTCTCTGCCTACTCTGTCACCACAGGTATAGGGGCTTTGGGAGAGTAGGTTTGGCATCAGTCAACTACTCCCTAGTGAAATCATGATTACAATGATGTGAGAGCTAATGCCCGATGCTGCAACCCCAATCCTTCCTCCTTTAGATCGGTCACTGCCAGGAGGCATGAGGGGAGCTACAGGGGGAATTTCGCTATGAAAGACCATCAAGGCATGGATGCTTCTTTCCAAGTAACTTTTCCAAGTCGGTTTTCTGAATACCTAAAAGTCCTTTGATTTATTTTAGCTAGATTTCTTTCTTTTCTTTTCTTTTCTTTTTTTGAGACTGAGTCTCACTCTGTCGCCCAGGCTGGAGTGCAGTGGCACCATCTCAACTCACTGCAACCTCCACCTCCCAGGTTCAAGCAATTCTCCTGCCTCAGCCTCCCAAATAGCTGGAACTACAGGCACCCACTGCCATGCCAGACAAATTTTTTTTTTTTTGTACTTTTAGTAGAGATGGGGTTTCACCATACTGGCCAGGC